CAAGATCACTGCTTTTATAATTTATACTCAGGTAAAGGAGAAAATCCCTGGAAATATTCATTTTTAGGAGGAGGTTCGCGAGACTTGACATTTTAATGAAAGGGGTTCACAGGTTGTTAAAGTTTGGGAACCACTGATCTAGCCATATGGTCATGACCCCCTGGTTGAGAAACTATGCCCTCCATTGTGTACCTTGACCCCACCACCTGACAGCATGGGAGTTTCAACACTTGCAAAGAATAATAAAGTTCTGTACGATATATGAAGAGCAACTTCCAGCTGAGACAGAGCCCGCACAGCTCCTACTGACTTGGTCAGAGAAGGTCTTTCATTTGGCTCACCTGACAAACTTCCTGGCCATGCACTGTGGGTCAAACACTGGTCCTCAAAATTGACCTCAAAAGTACGAACATTTGGTTCTACAATTGCTCTTTGGGTCTTAGCACAAAACAAGTCTAAACACCAAATGTGCTAATTGGTCAAACCCATTCCACTGTCTGGTGACAAGCTAGCAGACACAACAGGTACAGACAGTAACAGAGCTTAGGCTATCAGAAGTAAATCATATGCAGTTTTGATATGATCAAACTGACAGTTTCCACACACTGGAAGCTTACTAATGAAAAGTCTGTTGTGAATACTATTCAGGGCCTAATCCTGTTCCAAATATAGTCAACAGGACGACTCAGGATCAGGATCATTAAGTATGCAATCAGTATTCAGACATGTATTGTTTCTTACTGTGGTTTCAAAAAAAAGCAGAAGAGAGGCGACTCAGTGTGGCCAGATCTGAAATCTATTCTTCCATAAAAGATGAGAAGCAGCTGGTATTCAGAGTTGGTAAGATAAATAATATTGATGACAAAGAGAAGCTGTGCCTAGTATCCCTTTATAAGCAAAAAGACAGACACATCTTCCCCAGTTGGATGCTGTTTCAGGCACCTAACATTTATACACAGGGTCCAAATTAAATCTGGCTCATCTCCAACATGGAGAACTGCTAACACTGCTGAGCTGGTGCTGACTACTTGTTTTCTGAAACAAGGCTGTCACCTTCAGTTCCTGTCTATTGCAAGTGAAATGGTACCTTGAAAATTCTACATACAGTACATTTTTCTTTATTAATCCTGTTAAATTTTATTTAACCCTTTCATTCTGCTGAACGTAAAACTGTTACTAAGAAAAGACTTAGTTAATTATTTCACATCTGAATGTAATAAATATAATGCAGTACTTATATAGCTCTCTGCATTTTCACAGCACAGTACAAACATTAATGAATAAATACTGATTCTATGGGCATTATAAAAAGAATTTTTTACTGTTAAGTATACATAAATACATATTAGATCACTGATTTCCTAATCTATTACTGTCTTATTGGCTTTAAACAGTAATGTGACATTTTACTTTTTTTAAGTAGTTTTTCTTATAAAATGGTTTCTGCCTATTCCTTTTATATATGCACATGTATTGTTTTTGCCTTGCTTAAGTGTAACTTCAGCAGCTATCCATAGCAGTTGTCATTCTATATAAATATATACGGTAGTACATTATTTTTCTTTGCCTACCATTTTATGTTTAAATGAATATGTACACACGAGTGATTAAAACGAAGCCACTAAGAATACAATATGTAACAACGCTAGAGTTTTAGATACTGAGCTTTTTTGAGAGAGAATAGTAAGTAATGTGCTCTATGAACCAGGCTGAGGGAGGGAGCATAGTCTCCTGGTCAGAACACAGCACTAGGACTAAGCCTTGGGTTCTAGTCCTGGCTTTGTCACAGGCTCATTCTGTGGCTTTCAGTGAGCCACTTTAGATATGTGTGCCTCAATTTACACATTGTAAAATGGAGTAAGAATTCTTCCCACTGTACTGAAGTGTTGTGAGACTCCATTCATTAATATTTTTTAAATATTTTGAGAATCTTATATGAAAGACACCATATAAATTCAGAGGTCAAGATCCTCAGTTCCAGCCAAGGAGTGCACAACAGTTCAGAAATGGGAGGTGAAAAGGTGGCCTTTACATTCCTCTGATCCACTGCCAACTCTACGCTGGGCCAGTCTGCTTACTGCTGGCAGCCCTAAGGGGCTGATATGGCAACCAGGGATAAGTGAAATACAAGGAAATTCCCCTGGCCACACCAATGTTCCTCAGCCACAATGGCACCAGGGAGGTGAAGACTTTACAGACTTTGGGCCTAATCCAAAGACTACTGAAGTCAACAGATTCCCATTCAGTGGGCTTTGGATTAGGACCTCTGCGGAATCTTCATACCACAGGTTCAGATCACACATAATTAAGAACTCCAAAGTTAACCCTCCCAACTATCACACAATAGGAAAGAGGACAATACATAGGGTGACCAGATGTCCCGATTTTATAGGGACAGTCCCGATTTTTGGGTCTTTTTCGTATATAGGCTCCTATTACCCCCCACCCCTGTCCCGATTTTTCACATTTGCTGTCTGGTCACCCTAACAATACAAGAAGAACACAAGTAGGAAGATGCTTGGCCAAACTCTTTCAAGTTAAGGAGTGGCAATATATATATATACACATAAAAAATAAACACTAGGAAACTCTTCTATCCTCACTCTGAACCGATAAGACTTGTGTCTTTCTTGGAAGTTCCAAATTGCATCTGGCTGCGTGGGCATCCTGGCCAACATGCTGGGGAAATATCTAGATTTACAAGATTACATACCTGCATGTCCCACGTGCCCACCAACAGAATCGGTGGTCTTCTCTCAGGATCTGCACCCCCACTAAAGTTCTTCCCTTCAGCATCATCACCACCACCAAGAGAAACTCATGTCAGGAGTAGTAGCTTCTTTCCAGAAATTGAGAATTGCAATTATTTTTATTATTTTAATCTCCATAACTCGGATCTAGTACAGTTAGCTGCAAGAGTCTCAGTCATTCATTTCCCAGACTGTTGTCCTGTTCTAGCACTTCAGTTTTGTGATAAATACAGCCTGAAGTTCATTAAAATCTTTTCACAGTTTCGACACTCTGGTTATCAAGACATCCCACAGATCCTGAGAAAATCTTCCTATCTCCAAAAAGGAGTGGTATGTCAAAACAGCAGACTGGAAGCTTTAATCTCTACACCAGTGTTCTCTCCACCAGAGAATGCACTTACCACGGCTGCTCGTACCATGTCTCATGTTGGTTCTCTGGGTCTCATCTGGTTCTGGAACTCTTTCTCAGGCAAAATGGAGCCCACCAGTTTGCAAGACCTGGAGGAGATGTTGTCATTCTTTTCCAGGCGAGTCTTCCTACTCATGGCGCTAGAAAATTACAAAAACTGTAGTAAACCTTTTATTTTCTATGAAGAAGTGGTCTCCCTACGACAGTATTTTGAAAAGGCTAAAGAGAGGATCACAGAGTGATCTTGTGGCTTGATCTACAAGACAAAAGTGCCACACATGGAGTCACTGCCTCTCTGTGCCTCTGTTTCCCCTTCCATCCTTTGTCTGTCTTGTTCAGTCAGTGTAACTTTTTTAGGTCAGGGACTGTCTTACTATGTGTATATGTGGAATTTTGCACAATGTGACCTGAACTTGGCTGGGACCTCCAGAAACTACTTTAATGTACATACGACTAATAATAATTGAGATTATAGTTCTCATTCCATACTCAGTCCTGTACTCTTTGTGGTCTAACACCTCTGTGTTTTACATGGGGGAGAATGAACTCTGCATATCTTTACAAAAATGAGGTATAGCCCTCAGGCTCCTGGCAAGTTGCCACTGGAGCCCTTCATTGGCCAAAGTTGGAGGTCCCTTGGCTAAATATAGTTTCAATTTTATATTTATAATTTCATCAGATTTTTTTTTAAACTTTCCATTTTCCAGCTGAAGACTCCTTGTACTGTACAGGCAACTGGAAATGAAGCTACTTGTTTACATACTATTCTTTGGATCTTTGTTAAAATTTTACCATCCCGAAATTTGATGAAACATGTGTCTGCAGATGAACTGGGGATTTCCATTTGTGCAGTAATAGATTTTGGCTGGTGAAGGAGCAGTCAACTGCCAAGAGCCAACTCTCTGACCTTTGGATGGTCCTCTAGTATGGCCAATGTCCCTGCAGAATATAAACTGAGTAGCTGAGTAGCTAAATAAAGATCAAGGCCAAGTCAAAGTCATGATTAGACATCCAGCCCTGAACAAATATTTAATACCCATTCTTGACTGAATAGGAACAAAGGTCTTCTTCCTAATATTTTATATGATTTTAAAGTGTTCTAGCTTCAAAGCCATTTTAAAACCTTTTTTTTAATTTGTGCTTAGAACAAATTTTTTGGAAGCATTTGACTAATACTCTAAAACACCACTCACATTATTTACTTATCTAAAGCACTGTGAATGAATACAAACACTTGGTAATTTTACCTCTCCAAATAAAACCTGCATTTAATAAGACATCTGAATTAGGACAAATCAGATTGTTCAAGGGATAAGGTAGAGGATACACAGCCTTTGTCCTAGGTTGCTGATTCAAGTCAGTGATGATCTAAAATTACCATCCGATGGTTACTGGCGGCCTACATGACTTGAGTTTGATTCTTAGTCCAGTTTCAACATTCCACAAATTACATTCAGGACACCTCTACCCCAATATAACATGACCCGATATAAACCGAATTCTGATAGAACATGGTAAAGCAGTGCTCCGGGGGGGAGAGGGGGGCTGCACACTCCAGCAGATCAAAGCAAGTTCAATATAACACGGTTTCACCTATAACGCGGTAAGATTTTTTTTGGCTCCCGAGGACAGCGTTATATCGAGGTAGAGGTGTATTTGTAATCATTTGACTAATTAATTAACTAATGACATTTTAATTACTGTAGATTTAATGAGGGAATGTCACATTTTGACTGGCCCAATGCTTGCAAGGTTACCACTCCATAATGCCATGCAAAAATCCTTAGTTCAGTCCCTCAGCAAAGGCTTTTGCTTGTTACAGGCACTGGGAGTGCTTCAGAGACACTGTTACCTGAAAAAGCTGAGAGCTGCATTCATGGGCTCTGAAATGGTAACATCCAGCCTTCGTTGGCCAAAGGTTATCATGATGGGTGACTTGAGGGAGGAGTGAGTAGAAGTCCTCCATTGAGAGAGAGGGGTTTTTGTATTTTTAATGGAAAGTTAAAGGTTTCTTTTCTTAAATAGGTTTGATTCTGCTCTCATTCATATCAGTGAAAATCAGGAATGAATCTACTGAAGTGAAGGGAATTACAACAGACCAAAACCAGTATAACTGAGATCAGGCTCAGGGTCTTTATTTTGTAATACAAAAACACATTGGCTGCATTATGCCTGAATTCAGGTGCTACCAATAAACCTAAGTACCCAGCACAGCTATGAAATGGGAACTCAGGAAGAGAAGGGCTGCAGATACCATCACTGAAGCTCATATAATTACGGCTACGATTTAGTCACGGGTAATTTTAGTAAAAGTCATGAACAGGTCATGGGCAATAAACAAAAATTCACTGCCATGACCTGTAGTGGAGTCCGGAGGGAGAGGGGGAGAGTGCTGCTGGAGGAAGAACTGGGGGGGGGGGAGGCCGCTGCTGGGGAGGGGGCCCAGGGCCAGCAACACCAGCTGCCAGGGGCCAGTGGACTGCAGCGGCTCCGGCCGGCTGCCAGGGGACCACTACCTGGGGCTGCGGACCATGGCTGCTCCAGGGACCGCTGCCTGGGGCCGCAGACTGCAGCTGCGCTGTCGAGGGACCACTGCCCAGAGCCGTGGCTGCTATGGTAGGCCGGGGCTGCGGCTGCTCTGGCCAGGGACCACTGCTCGGGGCTGCGGAACGTGGCTGCTCCGGCCGGACAGGGACCATTGCCCAGGGCCACGGACTGCAGCTGTTCCGGCCAGGCGCCTGGGGACCACTGCCTAGAGCTGCGGCTGCTCTGGCCAATTGCCCAGGGACCACTGCCTAGGGCACATCTGCTTTGACCACCCAGGACCACTACTGGGGGCCGCCAGAGCAGTGGCTGGTGTGGCTGTCCCCAAA